TCAATACAGGCGAATGTCTTTTGAACCGAGGTACTATATCGGAAAAAATCTTCTGCGATTCCATTTGTCTTACACTTCTGCCGACTTTTTGCTCGAACTGGCTGTTACAGTTGATGGGAAAAAGCAGCAATTATACGTTGATACAGATTTGCATCTCCGCGTGGCAGATAAGGACGGGAAAAACAGTGAATACGAAGAAGTCGCTCTGCATTATAATCCAAATAAAAGGAGCGTTTTCGTTACTATCTGCAACCCTGATTTCCCTATTCGAGCCTTGTGTCTGGCGAAGGATGTGGCGAGGGGATGGAACGGAGCTGCAAAGCTTTCAACGGATTGTAGCAATAATTACTCTGTGGGGAGAGTTGCATGAGTGAGTGCTTTCTCGTTCTAACATTTTAGATATGATCTATAGCTAGTTTATACATGTAAAATCTTAGTTAATGTTATTCCATACTGCATCAAATGAATGGCTTCTCTTTAGAAGTGACACAGTAATAGCATGCAGGGCCTCTTTTAAGAATTTCTCAGTAGGGAGAGGGGTTGGGATATAGACCCACCTTGAAGTTGGTGAACTGGAAAAGCGGTACTTTTGGGGGTCTGGGGGGGGGGCTTGACTTACGGAGAGTGCAGCCAACATGGAGCTGGGGGGACTTGCCCTCTCCAGTCTTTTAATTTAAAAGGGGCCCTTGCAATGGTATAGGTCCACACAGGCGTAGCGTTTAATACATGAAGAAACAAGAAAGCCGTATTGGTTGAACAAATACCTATGATGTTGGTAAAATGAAGCTGGTTTCATTATTTTCCGACGTATATGCATGTAGGCAACCTCGTACCCAGGCTCTTTCCACTACGCTGTAGTGGAAAGTGTCTGGCTACGAGGTTGGCATGTAGGACCGAGGCAACTGATTTGTGAGCACATATATGCTTAGTGCTGGAATCAAACCCCAGTCTGAGAAGTAATATGTGCAATCAACCACTATATTGCCGGTAATCTTACCTTATTTGCTCATGATCATCCTAATGTGTACATTTTTGTTTTATTTGATAACTCTTTCATTGTATTTCTATTTTGTTATTTACAGCCGGTGAATTGAAGACTTTAAAGTTCTGTGACTCGGACTTTTCTTTAAGTGGTAAAAACAATAGACTAGTACTAGTAACAAATAGCTGTTATCGAATTCGATGTTAATGTAATGGAGTTACGAATAAATATTTTTGTTCTTGGCGCGTGTTAATACGATTATTGTAGCCTGCGAACAGGCTCTCAAGCTGAATTGAGAGCTTGCATCGATGACTAATGAATTTGAATATCTGCGTCTCAAATCGTGACGCGAAATTCTCATTGGTCAGATGCTATAATTTATATGTTTCCGCTGAGCTCTATATATGTCAACTGCTGAAAAAACACATTAACTGATCAAATTGGTCTTGGCCATCTTATCTCAAAGCACGAAATGTTCTGTTTTGAGAAAACAGTATTTAAAACATTCGAACTTTTGCTCGAATATCTTATATTTCGAAAAACAGTATAAATTGTACGGTCTAAATTTAGTTTGCACGGTCTAAATTTAGTTTGCACGAAAGTTGTAAACAACACCATATAAGGATAGACATTCCATATTTGGAAAAACGAACGTTACGGGGCAGATATTCAAATTCATTAGTCATCGATGCAGGTTCTCAATTCAGCTTGAGAGCCTGTTCGCAGGCTACCATATGCTTTATCAAGGCTGAATAATATAATGAGATGGAATTAATTTCCTCATTATACTGTTAACAAGCTCTTGTTTTTGTTTGTAATCAATTACACAAATTACTTCCCAGAACATTATTTAAGGAGATTATTTGACAAGTCAGCAGGTACATTTTTTCCTGAGCCACAATAGCACAATTGGGGCAATTCAGTGTCACTCATCACAACAGGCGCTCAAAATCACTCACAACATACAACAGGCAGTTCAGCATCACTCACCACAATTGACTGTTCAATACTGTGTGCCTCAGTAGGCAAATCAATAATCAATATTTTGCTCAGATTAACAACAAATATCAAAATTGAACTCATTCTCAAAACATGATACAATAACAAGGGGTCTCTTATAGACAAATACAAGACACCTGGTGTCAAATGTATCAAGTGACAAGATTATTCATCTCTTTTAATTTAAATACATTTTGCCGCCTTGTAATAAAGTACTATTTGTTTTGGAGACCATCAGTTGAGCAATTTAAAACATTCGCAGTGTATGCTTTATCAGACCTAAAGGTACTTGGCTTCACCTCGTATCTTTATACCTGATAAAACTATAGTACATAAAATAATAACTATGATATTTAGCCTGAATATTATTATAAATGTATGAAGGATATTATACATATATTCTTGATGCTCAACATCATCCGATAATCATTTAACATGAAATCCGATAATCATTTAATTAACTATTGAGAATTGTGTGAATTCCTGAATGACTTATTGTTACAGACTGTGCTGACCTCTTGCAATTATGGTTATTAACCAAAATCTGACAATGTCTCTAGTTAACCCATTGAGCTGCAATGTGCCCCAGTGTGCCCTACTTACTGAAATTGACTGATTTGTGGTTTATGGGTTTTTTTGTGGCAATTCTTTGGGCATCACAAGTGCATTTGTATATCTTAATACACTGTGAGAATACAAGTATTAGTATTTGAATGACACAATATGATGTAAGTTACCTTTCAGGTATATAATTTGTATACAGCATCAGTGGTGTAACTTAACTTTTTTGACCACTTGCCCCCATTGGCTATGTTACTGCCTCAGATCTAGACTACCTCAGATCTAGCTTTGGCTCACATATTAAACAAAATTTGAATCAAGTACACTTATTTAATGTAACACTAATCACCATTATTTTTTTTTATTATTAGTTTTACAATAAGAAATTGAAGGCACAGACAACAGGACTAATAAAGTCCCAAATTAAGTCCTGCCATAAATTAAGTCCTGCCATATTTCGTTATCATATCATGAATAAACATTTAATAACCAAAAAGAGAATCAATGCATAATATAATCAAACAATTTAGATGAATTTGATGCAGATGATTTGCCAGCTTGAACCAATGTCGTCAAACAGCCTTTATTCTATCCGACAATAATAATATGAACTGAAAGCTGGCCAGCTTTTTGTGGCAAAGCAACTTGCCCGTTCGGGCAACCAAGAGGAAACTTTTACTTGCCCATCATGATATTCACTTGCCCCGGGCAAGTGTTAAGTTACACCTCTGAGCATAGTAGTTGCCATTTGGCAGCTGTTGGTCTGGTTGAAGTGCTCAGATAATTTGGGGAGACCCATGGCATGCTCTCTCAACAGTGAAGGTTCAAAAACACACATGCCGGAATGCTTATAGAATTCCTCGCCATTTTTCCGCATTCATTGACACATAAATAAGTACAAGAATCACTTCAAAATAGTTTAAGGGTAAAGTTTAGAGATTAAATCATATGAGTATGTTAGTTTGGTTCAAATTTGACTGGGGGTTTTGAAGAATGAGGCAATCATATTAGATCAATTTTGAGTAAATTGACAATGTTTACAAGGAATTAATAGCGGTAAGGTGTGAAAGTTGTGGGTATTCTATAGTTGTATCAAAAAAGTGAAAAACCAAGCTAAAAGCCCCAAGAATACCTGATTGCCACAATGTCAAAGAGCATAGTTGCTGACTAAGAAACATCTATTAGACCATGTACAGTACTTGAGTCTTGTGCGGATAATATCAGTGATATTGCTTTTGTATTATACGATATATATACTGTAAACTTGCTGTTAACATATTATATTAATATTCATGGTTGTCAAATATCATAAAATCAACACACAAAATTCACACACAAAGGTTTAAAATAGTGTATATTGGTATAAACGTTTAATAAAAATGCATACATACGTAACCCATGGTCGGCATGGAATTTTGTCACTTGGCACAGTACTTTAATGTTTTTTAATGTTTGTCCCACATTAAAATATATTGAGTCAATGACAGTGCAACTGTTCATATTAAAACGTTCTAATCACATTTTACATGCACATTTGTATTCAGTAGTAATCTTTTCATAAAGGTACATCAAAGTCCCAAATCAAATTCTTCACTGACAGTAGTGACAGTATGTTATTGACTCCCAAACGACAAATATTATAAAACACGCTTCCAAGCTGAAAAGAAATATTTACTGTTGTCAGTCAGTGTTTTATAGACTCTTCTCTTTGAATCTTGATCTTCCACAAGTATTGCTGTTGATTATATTCCATATTTTTTTGAAGAACATCGCAGACTATATATTTATTTCCACTGTCAGTTGAAAAGTTTATCATCATAGTTTCAGTCTCTGGTTTCAGTCGCAAAAGCTTCTATCGCCCCTTTGCACGGCCATGTTTGATAAAATCAAAGCGGCCCGCACCCCCGGTTTGAAAAGTTAAATATTCTGAAATATTCAAAATTTGAGGCATCACGTGACCAGCCTTCACCAGGGCCTTTGCTGCTTCGCCTCCTTCCTCAATAGGCCCTGGGGACGAGGTTGCGTTTTTTTCGTCGTATAGGTACCGCTGTCTAGCTTTTTTCCACTTTCGACGCCAATAGCTTTGCTTTCGTAATAAAAGCATGCAGATCGCATCTTCTTGTTGTTTTAAGTGTATATTCCAAAGCAAAATAGCCCCATAAAATTGCATTATCATAGCTGTAAAGCTAGCAATAATGGAAAGTACTGATGGCACAATAATAAGTTTCGGTCGCGCCATATTGCTTATTTGAAAAATGGCGCTAAAAGTCATCCCGGCAAGCGGGATGACTTTTCTCATATAAACGCAAGAGAAATTCATCTCGCTTACCGGACTGTCTCGCTAAGCGGGCCAGCCCGGCTTCCATATAAACAGGCCCTTACATTTTATTCAATTTTGCACAATTATATATACATACATATTAATACGCCAGATACACAGTTACTACACAAAAAAGAATTAAGTTACAATGATTACAAATAAATTATCGTGCGCAGTGATCAAATAACCAGAAGCTTTCGAGTTGATCACTGCCTTTCACTAGTATGAATTTATGAATTTAGAGCGAAACGGATTTATATGCATTTATACACAGTGGTTCTTAATTCTTATATTATTATTGTAACTAAATTTGTGAAAGAAGTAAAGACTGAGTATATTTTTTTCGAAATATAGCGACTGAATTAGACAATTTAATTTCAAGATCTATAGTTTGCCATATTTGAGATGAAAGAAAGTTGAAAGTATGTACACCATTATTTGTTCGGACTTTTGGTCCACCAAAGTTTTGTATCAATTGACGAATTGTGTCTTTATATAGATGGATATAATTTTATCTTCAAAAACCGTTCAGTGGGCTGTCATGGAGGTGTAGGTTTATATATTAAGAACTCAATATCCTTTGAATGTTTAGACCATCTACAGCATCCCTTGTTAGAGGTTCTCTGGGTACGTCTTACTCCCAAAGGATTACCTCGTGGATTTACTTGTCTTGTAATTGGCGTAATATACCACCCACCACACGCCGATGATCATGAAATGCTCAGTTACCTTTCAATATCACTTACCACCATTGAAAGCGTTTATCCAGGCTGTGGTCTAATGTTATCAGGAGACTTCAACCAATTAAAAGTTAACCGTCCACTGAACCAGTTTCAATGCAAACAAATGGTCAATGTTTCTACCAGAGCTGACAAGACTCTTGATCTAATTATTACCAACTTATACTCGTTTTACGCTAAAGACTCTGTGAGAAACATCCTCCCTTTGGCCTCTCAGATCACAATGTGGTCATTCTAAACCCTAAAAACAGATGCGATAAATCAGGTAGTCGAAAGGTCGTCATAAGTAGAGACATGCGTCCCAGTAAAAAGAGCGAACTCGGAAGATACCTAACCTCCTGTAATTGGTCCATCCTAAATCATCTCGAAACCTGTGAAGAAAAACTTGAGCTTTTCACTGATCTTATTAACCTGGGTATCAATATCCTAATGCCCAAAAGAAGAATAACACTACATGTGAATGATCTCCCTTGGATCACAGCTAATTTTAAGATTCTTATAAAAAAACGCCAAGCAGCATTTTCTAACGGCAATAACGAACTGTTTAGGTATTACCGCAACCGAGTTAATCCGATTCGAAAGAAAAAAATGCCGTGAAAAGTTTTATTCGTTGAAGGTTGGAC